GATAAACACAGAATTCCTATACCCAGAAAACCTACCACCATTAAGTCAATGCCAACTCATAGCAACCCTATAGGACAGAGTAGAACTTTCCCATAGGGTTTCCAAGGCTGTAAATCTTTATAGAAACAAACTTCATCTTTCTTCCATGGAGGAGCACCACCAGACCTTCTAGCCATATATGTTCATTTTTCTTGGGTATATACCAAGGAGTTACTAGATCCACTTGGGTATATACCCAAGAAAAATGAACATATATGGCCATATAAAAACTAGTATGTGAATGTTCATAGCCACAGTATTCATAATAGCTAAAAGATAGGTAATACAGATATCCAGTAACTGATGAATACATAATTAAAATGTAGTATGACCACACAATGGAATATTATTTGGCAATAAAAAGGAATGAAATATTGATACATGCTGCAACATGGATGGATCAGGACATCATTATGCTAAGTGAAAGGAGCCAGTCACAAAGAACCCCATATTATTTGATGCCATTTATATGAAATGCAGAGAACGGGCAGGTCTGTAGAGACATAACATAGATTGGTGGTTGCTTAACACTGGGTGGATGGGGAGATTGAGGGGTGAAATCTGAGGGTGAAGGAGATTCTTTTTGGATTAATGAAATACTCTAAAATTGTCATTGCACAATTTTGTAAATATACTAAAAACCATACAATTGTACATTTTAAATGAGTGAATTGTATAGTGTGTGAATTGTGTCTCAGCGATGGCAACCCTATGGGACAGTTCTGTTCTGTGCCTTCAGGGTCGTGATAAATTTGAATTGACTCAGTAGGTGTGGATTTGGTAATTTTTGGTTTAATACGTTGTCTGGGCCCTGGTGGTGCAATGATTTAAGGGATTGGATGTTAACCAAAAGGTCAGCAGTTCGAACACATCAGCTGCTTCTCTGGAGAAAGATGTGGCAGTCTGCTTCCATAATTACTGCAGCTTTGGACACCTTATGGGGCAGTACTACTCTGTCCAGCGGTCACTATGAGTAGCAGTCAACTTGATGGCAGAGTGTGGGTAAATTTGGCTGATTCAGTTCTCATGGGGTCATTTAACATGTTCTTCTTTTCCCTTTATTTCCTTTAAAAAACGCAGTTAGATCTAGCAGGCTTGATTGAATTCTGGTTCTTTATTGGAGCAGGAATGCTTCATAGGTGGCACTGTGTACTTCATATTGCATCATTATGTCTGGTTGTCCCTCTTATAGTAAGGTTGATGAATGGGTTCAGGTGATGTCACCTTCATACACTTACGTACTGTTCCCCATCCACCTTTCACTTAATAGTTTGAGCAGTCATTTCTGATCATTGATTGCCCTGATGATTTCATTGGAAGTTAGTGATTTAAAAATATTTTTTTGGTTATTCTTGTATTTATTAACTTTTTCTTTTATAAGGAAGATCATTTTCTCATCAACTTTTTGTTTACCTTGAAATAAAGTTCAATACAGGGAAGACAGGATAAATGCTTGATTTATCAATATTCTGAATAATGAGTTGGTTCTTTAGCCACCTCATGACATGGTTTTTGTTTGGTTGCTTTTTGCTTATCTTAAGAACTTATGTTTTAATGTATTGAATGTGATCTGATCTACTGCAATCATTATTCTTTTTAATGCTAAAGTTGTCCCATATTTGATCAAAAGGAACCTTTCAAATTGGTTTTTAATCCCCTTTAACACAATTCTAGGAGTTCTGGTGATACAGTGCCTAAGACACTTGACTGCTAACCAGAAGGTTGGCGGTTTAAGCCCACCAGCCACTCCACAAAAGGAAGATGGGGCAGTCTCCTTCCGTAAAGATTTACCGCCTTGGCAACCCAGTGGGGGCGTTGCTGTTAAGTTGGGATTGATTCGATGGCAGTGATTATTTTTCCCCCCCTTTAAAGACAACTCTGGGAGTCCTTGGGGACTTTTTGTTTGTTTTGCTGTGCAAGAGTTAATTTTTTTTGTATGTGTGACACTCAGTTTTTCTTTTTTAAATACTGTTTTAGGTTAAAGTTTACAAAGCAAATTAGGTTCCCATTGAATAATTTTTTTTTACAAATTGTTCCATCCCATTGGTTACAATTTTCACAATGAGTCAGCATTCTCATTATTCCCATTTTGTTTGCTGTTTCCATTGATTAACTTCCCCTTCCTCTTCTTGCCATCTCTTCTTTGCTTTTGGGTAAATGTTGACCGTTTGGTTTTGTATAGTTGATTGTTTAAGGAAGCTTATTACTCACAGATGATTCTGTTTTTTCTGTAAGTCAGTCTATTATTTCTCTATTAAGTGACCTCCAGGAGTAGCTTCAATTCCAAGTTCAAAGGGTATTTTAGGGAGATAGTCTCAGGGATTTCTCTGGTATCAGTTCCATAAGTCTGGCCAGTTTTAGGAATCTGTGTTTTGTTCCACATTTTTTCCTTTTCTATCTGGGACCTCTGCTGTGTCGCTGGTCAGAATGGTCAGTAATGGTAGCTGGGTACCATCGAGTCTTCTGGTCTGAGGTTAGAAGAGGCTGTGGTTTATGCTTTTAGTCCTGTAGACCAGTTTCTTCTTTAGTCTTTGATTTCCTACATTCTCGTTGCTCCAGATTAGTAAGGACAAATAATTCTACCTTAGATGGATGCTTATAAGCTTTTAAGACTCCAGACGCTACTTCACAAACTAGAATGTAGAACATTATCTTTATGAACTATCTTATGCTTGTGGTACTCAGCTTTAAAGAATAAAAATCTACCCAAGGCAGTAGCAGAAATTTTAAGGGCATATTCCCTTTGTTAGTGACAGTGTAGTATAATAGAAATAACGCTCAGTTATTCCAGCAGAGTGGGAGGAAAATGTAGGAAAAAGAAAAATAAAATTCACAAAAAAGACCAGCCTTACTGTTCTGATAGAGACTGGAGGATCCCTCAAGCCTCACTGAAGCCATTTCCAGAGACCACGTTTCAGCCAGATAACACACACCCCATAAAAACAACCGTAACACCGGGCATCAGCCAAATAACACACAACCCGTAAAGTCAGCAGTAACACTCAGGATGGAGTTCCTTAGAACAATCAATTCTACAAGATCAAAACGACATTTGCCCAAAAGCAAAGATGAAAAGACAGGAAGGGGTAGAAAATTCGAGTGAAAGGAAATGGAACCCAGTGCAGAAATGGGGAGAGCATTGACGTATTGTGAGGAATGCAGCCAGTGTTCAACGGGAAACTAATTTTCTCTGTAAACTTTCACCTGAAGAATAATTAAAACTAACCAACTAACCAACCCTTCTGTCAGGAGGCAGACCTTAGTTGTGCTTTTTTCTTTACGGCTTACTAGCTATATGGCCTGTCAGGTCTTCAGGCTTGAACTTCCCTTCCTGTTACCACCTCCTCATACTCACCCTCCACTTCCACATTCCAAAGATGTTATAGCTTCTTCATGTACTAGCGCTCAAGTTTTCAGTATGCTCTGTGCTGGGACCTGAGTACCAGTCTTGTTCTTATCTGGCAATGCTCTTTCCCCGTTGGTAAAAGGGGCTTTTAGTGACACCTCTATAGTCCCTCCATCCGTCCGTCCGTCTGGTAGAGCAGTCTCTTTCTCCTTTGCTTTGATTGCGTCCAGTGTGCTTTATTGAATGGGTTGTGTTGATTTTATTTCCCGGTGTCGGTTGGTCGAGTGTTCTGCAGTACTGAGAAACACTGACTAGATAGGAAGCAAATGGTTATGAATTCATAGGATTATTTGTACAGCTTGTTTGGTCAGCTGCCTGCATTTTAAAAGCCTATCTCTAAAACTTTTGAAGCACCAAGCCCTTTTGAAAAATATACTTTGAAATACAAGAGTCTACTTTTCCTGAAGCAACTGTGATCAGTGTGAGCCCTTAAAGTCAGTGCCAAGTAGGAAACATTAGGGTTTCAGTTGGTCTGTTTTAAGAGAACTGAAAAATCCTGAGTTTATTCTAGCTGCTGTTATGGGGAAATAATTTTTCAATTGCCTTTTGTTTTTAAAACGTGTATTGCTTTTTAATATATTATCGGTAATTATATATGTAGTATTTATCAGTTAAGATATCTAGTAATAGCTGGATCGTATACATATATATATATAATTTCTTTACCTTGCTTGGTTTTTGAAGTAAAAGTTAAATACCACCACCAAAATGCCTTTGTTATGATCTTTACTCTATAAATCTTTACTATGTTGTTGTTGTTATGTGCCGTCGAGTCAGACCCGACTCATAGCGACCCTTCCTTGGGTTTCCGAGGCTGTATCGCTACAGAAGTAGATTGCCCAACCTTCCTTCCCAGGAGTGGCTGGTGGGTTTGAACCGCCAGCCTTCTGGTTAGCAGTCAAGTGCCTTAGGCACTACACCACCAGAGCTCCTAAAATTCAGAGGTTTTAAAGCCTCAGATCCTTATTTCAAGCTACATTATTGTAAGAGAATGCCACTAAATTAAAGACAAATCCCTGAATGCACTTTAATGGCTGGCTTATTTTAATTATTGAATAGTCAGGAATCTTTATGATGCATCCTAGAAGTCTGTAGAACTGTACAGAGAACGATGCCAAACGTGGATAAACGTGCTACTTCACCCGTATTGTTTATTTATTTCTCCTTCAAGGCAACCTTGATTAATAAATTACACTGAGAATTAGATTCTGGTTTGGTGCAAAACAGATGTTTTTAACCATTTGAGGTTGGGCTCTTTCAGTATTAAGCACCAGTGCGCTAGTAGGCCAAGTCCTTTTAGTGGGAGGTCCGGACGAACCAGTGGCTAAGGATTTAGTAAACTTGCTTCCTCAATCGAAACCACAGTATTCCCCTTTCCAAAAAATACCCCTGCATCTTCACCTTTAGTTCATTCTGCTCCAGAGATCATTGACAATGAGCTTGACTATGTAACAATTACTTTACACCTCTTTTTCTTTTGCTCATGGCCTGTTACTGTTTGAAAGTATACACATATCAAATATTACTCATGCTCTTCCTTTTTTCTCTTTGGCAGAGGAGATTGAAGTGGATGTTGAAAGCACAGAGTTCTCCCATGGAGAAGTGGACAATATCAGCACCACCAGCATCAGTGACATTGATGACCACAGCAGCCTGCAGAGTATTGGGAGTGACGAGGGTTACTCCAGTGCCAGTGTCAAACTTTCATTCACTTCCTAGAACCCAGCATGACATAACAGTGCAGGGCAAATATTCACTGGGCCAATTCAGTCCACACAGTCTCTTAAATTGGGTTCATGATGCAGTCTCCTCTTTAAAACAAAACTATACTTGAACAAAAGGGTCTCAAAAGACCTGTATTTAAGCAAATACATAGCAAAAAGTGGGGCAGAGCCTCCCCAGCATAATAAATATCCATAATGTTCGTATTGGGAAATCCCAGTTTCTAATGGCAGCAGAAAACTTGTGTGAAATTTCCTTGATTTAGTTGATTGAAAAGAGGACATTGGCGATTCTGTCGTCTTTTTCGTTTTCTAGTTTGCTCATACTGCATTGAGTAGACATATTTATGGATGGGTAATGAACCCTTCCTGAGCTTTATGGTCTTACAAACAAACAAACAAAATCAAACAATGTCAGTGCTAATGTAGTCGTGAGAAGACGAGATGAAATCAGGCAATCTTGGATAGCTAAAGAGCTATTAATCACTTCCGCCTTGAACAGCTTATCACGAAGCCTGTGGATGATCAATTCTTTTTTTTTTTTTTTTATAAAAAGTTCATTTCATGCTCTGCAGAAGGAGAGATTCCCATGAAGCCTGTTGAAAGGGATCATCATGCAGCTCAGCTTTCTGTTGGATTCCATGCTAAGCAAGCTAACCTTATCCTGCATTGTTAGCACTAGGGCACCAAACCGCCAGCTCGCCACCCTCCCTAGGCCCCTGGGCAGCATGGGGGGCAGTCAGTGCATAACAGCCTCTGCCACACGAGCCTGTGAGTCCGGACTGGGGGCCAGAAGGAAATGCTCCACGTGCCTCTGCATCTGCGTGGGCCAGAAGAGTTTTGCAAGCAGATAAGCATGCCAAGGTCTGAGCCATGGCAGCATTTTTATTTTAGATTTTGATAACTGTTTGTATGTGTTGAAACCAAAATGACATCTTTTTAAAAGCTTGTCCATAAAAAACATAGATGTCTTTTATAGTGGAAAACACATGGGGAAAATCATCTATTTTGATGCAGCATTTGATAATGATAAAACTCCTCACACCTCACTCTTTATAGTGCACAAAATGAATGAGGTCTGGGCTAGGTAGAAAAAAGGTCAATGCTAATGTTTTTGTTTTCTTTCAGAATCATTACCCTTTACCAGCTTTTAACCATCTGGTATCTATAGTAGACTATCATAGTTAACATAGCTAAGTTCAGCAATTGTCTCATTTTAGTGTAAAGATTTGCTTCCATTTTCCTACAGGCAGTCTCTCTCCTTCCTCACAGTCCCATTGTGCAGGTGCTATTGTTGCTCTTAAGAATATTTTCAGAAATGTTATTTTCTTTGAAGTGAAATTTCTAGCCTGCACTTTGATGTCATGTGTTCCCTCTGTCTTTTAAACTCCAAGGTTCCCCTGTTTCCCTCTCCCTTACCCCAGGAAGCCTTCTTGGAGACCTTGCCCCTGGCTGTTTGAACTTTGTATACTTTAAATAATTTAACTACCCTTAATTACTTTAAGAGAAAAAAAAAAAAAAAAAAAGCTTTATGATTTTCATAACTTATTGCTGTTTTTAATGGGTTGTTAATTTCAGTCCTGTAGTTGTATTTTGTGTTTTAGATAGGGCTGGGCAAGGAAAAAGAAAATAAAGACAACCATATTTAGCAGTGCAGTTGAGTTGTGTGTTTATGTTAGACTGTCCTTTGTAAGTAGGGCTGTAACAGCATTTTCTGCTTCTATATATGGAGTGTACCATACATAAGGCCTCAGCATATACTCACATGTTCTTGTGCTCTTCCTGTGCCTCCAGAAATATTTTATCCTTGATTTGTGCTATGTTTGAGTGGAAGAATTCTTTGAAGTAGATGTGTGTGGAAAACTGCATGCCTTTAGAAGCCCAATATTTAAACTTGCTACTTCAGGTGCTGGAGACCTAATGAAAAACATGACAAATTCATTTCTGTGGCCCAGGTAAATTTTCTCTGGTGTCATTTATAATTACTCCTGTCCAGGTCAAGATGTTGCTCTATATATTTGCTTTATTTTGACTTTCCCAAGTGAGACACAGTTTGAGGACTGCTCACTACCATGGAAAGTAAACGGAAGCTAGCACTAAGCTTCTGTTTTGTCATTTCTGTGGCAGTCACTTGTGTCATTTTGTCTAGGGCTGGAATTTGGGACTTCATTCAGGTGAACTTGAGGTGCTGACATTTTGTTGTGTTTGTACAAGATGATGGGTTGGAAAGCCTTTCTTGCGAACCTATAGTATGTATTTCAACTGCCCCCTAAATTTCTCCTTCCCTAGGTTTGTTTTCCTTCAGGAGGGTGGGAGGTGGATTATACCATGAGTTCAGAAGTATTAATTTTTTAAAGGACAAATCAACTTTGAAGATACAATTAACTGCAAGAAATAAAAATTGTGAATGAAGAATACCTGAGTGCTTTTTATACTTCCCTTTTCTGTTGGCACAATACCTAAGGCATTTGGCTGCTAACCACAAGACTGGCGGTTCAAACCCACCCGCTGCTCCGCAGAAGGAAGATGAAACAATCTACTTCTGTAAAGATTTACTGCCTGGGAAACAAAATGTAGGTTGCTGTAAGTCAGAATCAACTCGATGGCAGTGGGTATGGTTTTTTTTGGTAGGTCTCTCTGAAGAAAAAATTACGGATTTAGATAAGCCCACCAGCCACTCCTCGGAAGGAAGGTTGGGCCATCTATTTCCATAGTGGGAAACCTAAGGGGAGGGATCGCTATGAGTCAGGTCTGACTCGGTGGCACACATAACATAACTGATGATAGCTTGAATGTTCATTTCTGCTTTCTGTTCTACAATTTAAACAGGTATCTGGGTTACTGAGAAGTTCTTACAATCTGACTGCAAATGGAGTGTTATCTGATACCTTAACTGCTTCAGGTTAGACACAAAGCCTTCTGTCATTCTCAGTATCTGTTTTCCCAATAACTTTTTACCGAATCCCTTTAGCTACAAGCTTTTCAAGTCTAGAAGTTTCCATTTAGGTCTCCACTAACCTGACTTGAGGAGTTCTGGTGGCATTGTGGTTAAAGCATTGGGCTGCTAACCTAAAGGTCAGTGGTTTGAATCCACCAGCTGCTCTGTGGGAGAAAGATGAAACAGTCTTTAAAGTTTTCCAGCCTTGGAAACTATGGGACAGTTCTACTCTGTCCTACAGGGTAGCTGTGAGTTACAGTCTATTCGATGGCAGGGTTTCTTTTTGTTGTTGTTGTTTTAAACCTTTTAGGGTACCTGATATGTAAAAAATTGTTAAAAAAATGATACGTAAAAAAATCTATAAATGATTTCTATTGAGCTCTATTGGTGCAGTATGTGCCTGGCTTCTTAACCACTGTGCTACCAAGGAACGGTTCTCGTAAAAGTCATCGTGACATGTAGTTTTGGTGAGAATTAAAGTATGAGAACTATAGAAAGCCTTTTTTAATCCCCATGGCAATGACTGCTTTGACCTTTATGAAGATGTTAACAGGCAGGAGGACTGCAAAGCTTCTAAGATCCATACCACTTCCTGCATCATTTCTCATGAGAAAATTGTTTAGCCTCTTAAAGAACGATTTTTTTCAATGTATGTTTATTTTCTTTCACTTAAAGAAGCAACTGCACTTAGCCTTTTTTTGTATTACCCTCTATTTCAAATTCCTAAACTGTCAACCCAGACTAAGCCAATGTACCTATCAAAACCAGCATAAGCTGGGAAGAACAAAGATTTTTGATCAGATTTAAATTCCAGTTCCAACACTGGCTATATTCCAAACAGCAGTTAATTTCTTCATTTTAGTGGTTTCCTCCTAAAAAATTGTTTAAAGTATTACCTCTATCTTGAAAGTTTGTAAGAATTAAAGCTAATACATATAAATTACCCCCCTCCACAAATCCAGGAACTTGTTGTGCTAAAAGGAAATTAAGAGGTATTTCTTACTTTCTCTGATGAATGCAATCTTTCAGTTATTTTTTACTGTTGGTTGTACAGAAAAGGGCTATTTCTAAATACTAGTTCATTTTAACAAAATTCCATGGCAAGTCATTTTTGATGTCCTGTAGACATAGCATAGTGCCTAAGCCATTTGACTGCTAACCAGAAGGCTGGCAGTTCAAACCCAACAGTCACTCTTCTGGAAGGAAGGTTTGGCAAGCTACTTCTGTAGTGATACCACCCAGAAACCCAAGGAGGGGTCACTGTGAGTCAGGTCTGATTCAGCACATAACAACGATTAGTTTTAGTGATTACCTGATCTTTCTGAAAAAGGACTATTAACTTGTGCTTGAGGGCACATTACACACTGATAGTTGTTGTTGTTATGTGCTGTCGAGTCTGACCACCTCATAGCACTGCATAACAACAGTTGTTACCCTCACTTTAGTATTTGGTGCTTACCTTAACTGAAAAAAGCATGTGTGTGTGTGTGGTGGTGGCAATAAACAGCAATTTTCTATGCCTATGTACCAGATGTAATAGGAAACTGGTTTCTTGGGAATATGTGTGACTTACTTGTGCACACTGGGCAAGTTGGCCGCAAGGGACCTCTTTCAAGTGCTGAGAAGCAAGGATGTCTCCTTGAGGACTAAGGTGCGCCTGACACAAGCCATGGTATTTTCAGTTGCCTCGTATGCATATGAGAGGTGGACAATGAATAAGAAAGACCGGAGAAGAATAGATCCTTTGGCGTTGTGGTGCTGGCGAAGAATGCTGAAAGTACTGTGGACTGCTAAACGAACTAACAGATCTGTCCTGGAGGAAGTGCAGCTGGAATGCTCTTTGGAAGTGAGAATGGCCAGACTTCATCTCACCTGCTTTGGTCATGTTATCAGAAGGGACCATTGCCTAGAGAAGGATGTTTGTTATGCTTGGTAAGGTAGAGGGTCGATAAAAGAAAGGAAGGCCTTCAAGGAGATGGATTGACACAGTGGCTGCAATGATGGGCTCAAGTATAGCAAGGATCATGGATCTGGCGCAGGATTGGGCAGCGTTTGGTTATGCTGTGCGTAGGGTCATTATGAGTCGGAAATGACTCAATGGCACCTAACAACTTATTTATGCAGTATAGTTCAAAATATATGCACTGGCTGATAAGTTTACTTCATGGTTCTGGTTTTAACATTTCTATGAAGTCATAAATTGTTAGGGGAAATGACTTAAAATGAAGCTCTTTTAAAGTACTGCCAACTACCTGTAATTTTGGAATATTTTCCTTTTGCTCAAGCTCGTGGTCATGAGGGAATGCTTAAAGAGTTTTTATTGCTAGGCAATCATTGGGATATTTATTTTAGATTTTGAAAATAGTATTATTCATGAATAAATGACACCAGGGTACAGAACAGAATTTTGTAAAAACACAAAAGCTATAAAATATGCTTACAATGTACTCAAAAAGAATATAAATTTAAGAGGTCACTTGTTTCTAAATTGATAGCTTTATTGAACTTAACTCTGAAATCTAGCTAGGTCAACTAAGCCTGTGCTTTTTTGGGGGAAAACTCCACACCAAAGAACTAAAGAGATACTTGCTCCTCCTTCCCACTACTTCTGAGCAATGAGCAGTTGGACCACTGCCATTTTTTAAAGAGTAGCTTCCTGTACAGCTCAGGCTTCTACTCTCGTTCTCCCAGGATATGGAGTCAGTATTTCCTCGAAGTTTGAATTGTTTCTGTGGACAAGAATTCACTGCATCTTGCTAAAGTCTAGCACAGAGCTTGAAAGGGGAAAAAACAAATGTACATCAATTCACCGAGGGGAAATCCCAAGCCAGCAGACTAAGAACCACAAATGTGGGCCATAGGTACCCTCTTGAAACAAAAGAACAACTTTTCTCCTAATTTGTGGTTCATTTTGGTTATTCCCTTAAAAAAGACTAAATGGAGGGAACAAACTACAATTTAAATAATGTTAATAACTTAAGTATGTACTGGTTTCCTAACACTGATTTGGTAAGATTTTTCTGGAAGTTAACTGCCAGTTTTTGTTGCTTGAGGGCTGAAAGATAAATTGTGTCCAGCATTTGGTGCTTTTAGCTAGTTCACCGGTGGATCTGCTTTACCTTACTCAAGATCACAAAAAGCAACTTTACTTACCTAAGCTAAAAAGGCAAATGAAATGAAAATCCTCACATTTCTAACTTCCTCATCTTGTTTTCTTGGCTAGGCCAAAACAGAAAATTCTTAGAATGTCCCATCTACAATATTGGTCTCTGAGCTTCTTAAGATATCCTATAGGAATATAAATACACACACCCCCACACACAGGATAAAGGGACTCAATTGTTTTTGTTTAAATTATGTCATTACCTATTACTTTGGCTGCTATGCTGCTTCCTCTCTACTGCAGTAAAAATTGTTTAACTTGAAATTCAAAAATTCTAGATATTTTTAAATTTACTGTTGAACTTGTATATCACCATTTATACTAATTGGTTGGTTGTTTCATAATCAAAATACATTCATTATGATTCTGTAGATATTTATTGAACCTTCTAAAGAGAGTAATATATTGAGGCAAAAAGTCAAATCAAAACATAAATAGAACTTTTGGTTGAATTTACTCCCCCCACCCCCTTTTTAAATAATCTGTAGACATGCTGAAAACCTTGGAAATGTGTATTTCTTCATATCACCTGATGGTTCTCCCTTGCTGTTTGCTATTTTTAAGGCACTGAGCATTAAAACTTCATCACGAGGACACACACACCCTTCACTGTGACTAAAACAAGCACTTTTTAAAATGGGATGTTAAAATAACTGAAGGAGTTCATTTTGGTTTGATGTCTAGCCTTCATTAATTGGGCTAATGAAACCAACACTTCAAAAATCAAACTGCTTTTACAAAAATTTAACCTAAAATAGGGTCCTTTGCAGGTATGCACATCAGAATCACTGGTGGTGGTTGTCAAGATAGACGTGCATTGGTCTATGGATAGGTCTTGGGTAGGACCCAGAACTAGGAATTCCTTTTAAAACAATCACTGGGGGCAATTTTTTAACCCCCACTCCCTTCCCGTTCAAAACCATGCCATAGGCTTTTCTGATAGAAAAATTAAGTGAAACCTTTAATGTACAAGTCTGGTAATTTGGTAACATTTCAGGAAAAATTTATATAGTTGGAGTCTCAAATATAAGGAAAGGCACAATTACCACTGTGATGTAAATTTAGTTTAAGTAAAAATGATCAGATGTTTATTGTTACCATTTTGCAAATAGTAATAACACACACTTCTATAGTATTATGTACCAGGTAGGTACTCTTAAGCACTTTACACATATTAACTCACACCTAATGAAATCCTTACACACATATTAACTCACACCTAATGAAATCCTTACAACCTATGAACAGATTCTATCCTACAACTGAGAAAACTGAGGCAAAAAGAAGTTATACACATAGTAGTCCTTGCTCTTCACTGTGCTCCACAGCCTCTCTACATGTTAATTTTAATAGCATTTGTTATCTGTAATTACTACTACTGTCTACCTGTGTATATATACAAAGGCATTTGACTGTGTGGATCATAAATTATGGGTAACACTGCCAAGAATGGGAATTCCAGAACACTTCATTGTTCTCATGAGGAACCTGTACACAGATTAAGCTGTCAAACAACAAGGGGATAATGCATGGTTTAAAATCAGGTAGGGTGTACATCAGAGTTGTATGATTTCACCATACTTAATCTGTGTGCCAAAGAAGTAATCTGAGAAGCTGGACTATATGAAGAACGCAGCATCAGATTGGAAGAATCATCATTAACCTGTGATTTGCTGATGACACATGGCCTTCTGAGTCAAGATGGTTTGAAGCATTTACTGATGAAGATCAGACTAGTCTTCAGTATGGATTACACCTCAACATAAAACAAAATGCTCACAACTGGACCAATAAGCAACATCATGCTCAATGTAGAAAACATTGAAGTTGTCAGGGATTTCATTTTACTTGAATCCATAGTCAACACCCATGGAAGGCGCAGCAGTCAAGAAATCAGATGTATTGCACTAGGCAAATCTGCAAAAGACCACTTTAAAGTGTTAAGATGTCACTTTGAAGACTAAGGTGTGCTGACCCAAGCCATGGTATTTTCAACCACCTCACAAGCATGGGAAAGATGGACAATGAATAAGGAAGACCGAAGAGTTGATGCTTTTGAACTGTGGTGTTAGTGAAGAATACTGAAAATACCATGGGCTGTCAGAATGAACAGATCTGTTCTGGAGTAAGTGCAGCTGGAATGCATCTTGGAAGCAACAATGGCCACACTGTCTCGGTTATTTTGGTCATCTTTTTAGAAAGGACCATCCCCTGGAGAAGGCTCTCACACTTGGTAGAGGATCAGTGAAGAGGAAGACCCTTGACATGGAGCGCCACAGTGGCTACAATAAGCTCAAGCATAATAAGGATTGTGAGGCTGGCACAGGGTAAGGCAGTACTTCTTTCTGTTGTACACAGGGTCACTGAGTCGCAGCCTACTTGACGGCACCTGACAATTACTACTAAAATTACAATTTTGGGGGTGTTAAGACTGTTCTTTCTGAAGGTGAACCACAGTGAAGTATCAAGCTTTGAGAAGATACATGCCATTAGAGCAATGTTGTTGTTGTTATTTGCTGTCGAGTCGGCCCCAACTCATAGCGTACGTGTATCTTCCCATATACCCTTTTATAGTCCAGATTCCACCACCGTCCTGACACTAGAATTTTCCAAAAGGCCACATCTAAGTCTTTGAGACAAGGGATCCTGATCTCATGCTATAATAGGCCTCCTATTTTCAAGACAACTCTTCTATATGGTATGGTCTTTTACTCCTTTTCCCACTCCTACTATAAAGCCCTCCTGTTCATGTGCAGAAAGGCAGGTCCACAAGTCTCAATTACAACAGCCCTGCCTACATAAACAACAAATAAACTACTATCTCAACAACCACATCAAGGTAATGTCATAAAAAACCACTTGGTGTGGCCATACAATTAAACCAAATTTATTTCCTGTGCAGTCCTATTCCCTTGTAATCTTCAAGGCTAATAACTGATTAGTATGATCATAAGATGCTTTTTACCATGGTAATGAAAATATATTTTATTTAAAAGTCTTCAGGCTAAAGAGCCCTTTTTCAACTATAATTTGTGCCTTCTGTTTAAAAAATTACTGTCAACTTTCTATCCTACATGCTTTACCTTCTGATCAGATCATTAGAAGAAAAACAGTGATCTGAGTTGAGAGCGAGGTGGCACGCACTCACTCACTCTACCTTTCATCACTGTCCTACGAAGTTTCATTTTACCAAAAAATAAATAAATAAAAATAAAATCCACGAAATAAGAACTTTTATTTTCCCCTTCCACAAAAATTTACAATTACCTCTATACATAGCACAAGCCCTTAAAATAAAACTAGTTTGTACTTTAAAAATCTATTTCTTAATTCTAATTGGAAGGGAATACTCAAGAATTTATTGAAACCTTTATCACATACTTAATATTCTTTTCTGTAGCAATGATGTGTGCAAGTACAGGGTGGCTTAATCACTTTATCAACACTGATGGCTGAAGAGTTCACTCTTTGGTTAATACACCCTGGAGATTTTAAAAGCACTTTAATAAAAGTTAAACATACAAAACAAATTAACACACATTCTAAAAATCATCTTCCATTAATAGGGAGACCCTTTTCTATGCATGTATTTGGCTTAAACTCAACTCAGGGTAACTGTGATGTTCACTTATACCAACAAATGCTGACAACCTGATCTGATCTAGTTAACAGAAATTACAAACTCAGCTACATGAACATAATATACAGGGAAATTATGGTCATATTAATGCACAAGAAATACAGTAGATTTTTAATGATGAAAACATTCAGTACTCTTGTTCATTAATTTAGCCTTGTTTTTTTTTTTTTTTGTTTTTTACAAAAATAGTATCTACACTGTATACAGGGCTATACATTAGCTTTTAGTTTTCCCATATAAACATTACACATCCAGTATGGTACCACTACCATAAGTGAAAAATCAACACAGCAAAAAAAGCAAATGTACAAAACAAAAACAAAAACCTTATCAAAGGTAGATGGTCCTAAACATGGTTTCTTACATAAAACTTAGAAAAAACTGAATTAACTTTAGAGATGGCTTAGGAAATACGTTACTGAAGGAAAATGTCAAACGTTGCCATTTACAAATTAACCTATATTTAGGCTTAACTGGACAACAGGTAGGTTTAAGGTAAAACAAAACAAAAAGATCTCTTTAGCAGGTTGGTGATTTTGCCTTCAAGTTCCAATGAATGGCTAGAATGTGACCAGTTCAAAGCATGTGAAAAGTCCAAGTTATGACCTTACAAAAAGTATATACCACTGGTTGAATGGGGATCTGACATTAGGAAGATCAACAATTCATCTAGGTGCTGTATTTAAGCAGCGTCTATCTAGAAAAGTTGCTTTATTCAACAAACTTTAAGGGAACTGTGGTAGCAGTAATGAAAAAGTTAAATGAGTAGCTGTTATCAAATGCTGCATTTTCTTCAAGTTTCATTCTATTGAAGTCAGTGATGACAATGGATTTCTTCCTTACTCATCTAACAAATAATTTACCTTTAGAAAAATATAAGGATAAAAAGGTAAATGTAAAGCCCTACAGAGATGAAATCCAACAGTTTTTCTGATTATTGAGGCATCAAATGCCTGACGTTGTATTTAGAGGTATCCTGATACTGGGTCATAGGTTTATCTGCAATTCCACAAGTTCCTACTCCAACTTTGCCAGTTACACTCTCAGGTGAAGCAAAAATACTCCTCTTTACCTAAGGAAATAAAACAGAAACCATCCTGGTTTAGTTTTAGAAAAAGCAGAATATTCAAATTTTAAGTAATGTTAAACTAAACTCATTTCAACATACACACTTTTAAAAAAAGCATGCTGCTGTTAGTTCAGTGTCAACAATGGATGCTGAAATGGTACAATACTAGAAGCCATTCATGCTACCTTATAAACTGTTACCACTACATACTCTTAGCACTCCTAACACATACCTTCACACACCTCAGTATTTTACTTCTGTGGACTCAAGTCATCAATTTCAGCCATGATTATCTGCTTTAGCATGATTAGAACTCTGTTTGCACTGAATGAAGTCTACTGTGGGGCCTATCATGATGCCTGAATTGGGGAGCCCCTTGACCTCTGTCAGTCACAAAAAAACACCTTATGAAAAGGAACTGCTGCTTTCCAGAGCCATGTCCATCAGTGGAGGGGCTCTCTTGATAGCAATGAGAACTATAACATGGGTGAAAGCCAAGTTAACCTTATTCTGAGCTCTATGAATGCTATGGATATTTTCCATGTAACATACACTTACGAATAAAGTATGCCATGGGAACTCATTCAGTGCTTTTAAATAAAATCTACTACTGGTGAGCAGCTTTAAACAGATTAACAGAGCAGGCAGAGTTTAGCCTCGAACTGGCATGTGAAGTAGCGTATCATTTCCATTTTAGTTAACAGAAAGAAAAGAGCTTAGACGTTTTGTAATTTCTCATGTACACTCACTGTTTATGTTGCAGAGATAGTAGTTAATGGAGATTTTTTCCCCAGTAAATCAAAATGAGGAGTGAAGAGGATTCTGAATTCAAGTCTGGTTATTATATGGTATTTTCTTATACCTATGTACCTCCTTTTTCAATTTAAAGTTGTATTAATGACAACTAGACCTCGTTGTTGTTGTTATGTGCCGTCGAGTCGGCCCCGACTCATAGCAACCCCTCCTTGGGTTTCCGAGGCAGTATCACTACGGAAGTAGGATTGCCCAACCTTCCTTCCCAGGAAATCCACCAGCCACTCCTCGGAAGGAAGGTTGGGCAATCCTACATCCGTAGTGATAACTGCCTCGGAAACCCAAGGAGGGGTTGCTATGAGTCGGGGCCGACTCGACGGCAAATAACAACAACAACTAGACCTCTTAGATTTATAAAATAGGATGACAGGATTTACTCACCTGGCCTTTTTTGTTTTTAGAATAGGCTCTGTTGTTGAATTGTTGCCATTTCACCTTCTGGTCCTCTCTTTCCTGCTCAAGTTCTTTTATTCTCTGTGCTTTTTTCAAAGCTTTCTTTTTTTTATATTCACGCTGCTGGGCAAGCATTTCTTTTCTTTGTTAAAGAAAGAGATAAAATTCAACTCTTAAGATTTAAAAGACAACTTCCTTTGAGATATTAACAGTGCCTCCCCCCAAAAGGTCTAATAAACCTATACCCTCTTTCCATGACTAAAAGCACTAACTCATTAAAACCAAAGCCAATGACCCAATGTACTACTAAGAAATATATTTTTTGTTAAATACCAGTACATACTATGTTTAGAAGCTTTCAAACGTAACTGTAGTCTATTACCTATGTAAATTAGATAGCCTAACTATGACTGTTTTATTTGACTTTTACATAGCTTTGGCAGTGTGTTTTATGAATGAATTCAACATTAATGGCTGTCTAAACTTTATCAATTTCCAACTAGACACAGTTAGCAAGTGAAAAGAGCAGCATCTGGAAAATATATAAAGAGAAACATTTACATAAATATATATAAAGAAGAAATTCAAGGCAGGTAAAACTCTCCTTTACCCAGACTGGAAGAGAGTAGTGGCACAAAGGAGAGTTACTGCTAACAAGTTTTACAAAGTAACAACCAAAACACCCTGGGGTTTCCAACAACTTATTCTAGATAGGAACAGAGGCTAAAACTTTTACAGTCTATTCAGCTCACTTAACACTGACTTCTAAAACAAGGATGAAGAAAAACGCCTTTAAAAGAAAAGCAATAAAACTAGACTCTCCTGTACCATATAATCACTACCATGAAGGTTAAGTGTGGCTTTTTACACAGAGGTCAAAAAATAAACTACATGTTTTACAATCTGATTTTCTTATTGAGATGCTTAAGTGTTATTTTAACAGACAATGTTAAGTTTCCCAAATTCATATTATTTATGTAGCAACTTAAGTTTTGAAAACTCTTGCCAAATCCAAAAGATAGGATATTGTGGCAAATATGCAGAAGTTACCGAAAAATAAATAATTCTACCTCTTAAACTACTTTTCAAAACTGTACACTTTTCTCCATCCTCACTGCCACTCCCTGTGTTTAGCCCACTATCATGTCTGGATCTTAACAGTAGCTATCTTCTTCTCTCCACTGCCAGTGATCACACTGAAACTTCAAGGTAATTACATCACTCCTCTGTTTAAAATGCGTGTGTGCCTTACAAGCTCTCTATGACCTAAGCCTCTCTACTTCTTTAACTACTTGTCAAAGCATCTTCTCAGCCCCAAACTTTTGCCACAAGCTTTTGGTTACTTCCATGACTCCACTTTTTTAAAAGTAAACATACTTTGCTATTACTAAATGTCAAGAACTGTGCTATATGTTTTACTAATGCTATCATTTAATCCTCACAACCCTGTAGGGTAGATACTACTGTTTCCCTGTTTTAGAGGAGAAAACTGAGACAGAGATTCAACAGCTTGCTAAAGGTCTATTTGATAGTAACAGAGATACTCTATGGGTTTCAAGACTTACTGCCTGCTACTTCTTCATCTGACTAACTCCTCTTCTCAGATCTCAGGTTAGGTGTCACCTTCTAAAAGAATCCTGCTCTGATCACTAAAGTGCAGTTTATCTCTTCTTTGTTCCCTCAAAATACCTGTTATGTCCCCTTCAAAGTTTCTACATTTTAAGTGCTTCTTTAATTACGCATTTCTTTCTTTGGACTACAACTTTAGTTAGGGCATGGCCCATGTGGTAGTTGAGTTGAGTGTCAGCTTGGCTGGGCCTGGTTTTCAGTGGCTGGTCAGCTGGATGTAGTTATTCTCCAGGAGACTGTAATCAACTCCTGGTGGAATCTACTGGAGCAGCTGAGTAGCTATGCTAGGGATGTGGTCTGCTTCCAGTATATAAGCAGCAGCTTTGAGATAGGTCTCTTGCAGCTTTCTGACACACTGGGACTCTGCATGTAGCCAACTCTTCATTCAGCAGCCTGCCATGTTTCCAGTTGATCTTGGGACTGTCTCTGGACTTGAACTAGTGGCTTGCCATGTTTTTTGGTAATCTTGAGACTGTGCCATTTTTTGTCAACCTTGGGTTTTCAGCCTCGACAGCCAGCAGCTGACTGAAGAGATGCCTCCAGCTCCAGTGGGCCGGGAACAAGAGGCAGAGCTGAAGCCCAAGGGTGAGAGGCCTCCACCTAGCCTCTAAAGCTTTGAACTTGGACTTCTAGCCTCCTAAACTGTTAGAAAATAAACTCTTGTTTCTTAAAGCCACCCATTTTGTGGTATGTTCTCTTAGAGCAGCACTAGGTAACCAAAACAGCCTATGCTGGTCTATTCACTGTGTATAGTCCTAGATTCTGGATTATTGCCAGGTCCATTAAAAAAAAAAAAAAGTTGCCATGGAGTAGATTGCAAGTCATAGCAACCCCTGAATATCAGAGGAGAAATGTTCTCTGTAGGGTTTCAATGGCTGATTTTTTCAGAAGTTGATCACCGTTTGTACTACCTAGGATCTGCCAGGTACACAGTATCCTCTTACATAATGGTGAGCAGTATTATAGCTTTCTCACCCCAATCTAGATCGTCTCTGCAGACTTACCAATTACCCAAATGGGGAAGATTACACCTAAAATGCTGAAGTCAAAGTGACTTACTTTGACATGGGTTTGTTGCCACTGTCCTCCTTTGCCTTCCTTCCTTCTTCCACAGGCTTGAGGTTCAACAGTGGAGTCACTTCGGCATTGCCGTAGCCAGCAAAGGTGATCGCAGCGGTGCCATTTTCTTCATCTATCTCCTCAATCTCCGCTTCATAACACCTGTAAAGATATCATGGCTGTAAGCAGGTGAGTAAAGGTTTAGTATTCGGCCTATAAGACTTATACTGCAGTGATTCAACTATTACACGTGTCTAAACTGAAACTTCTGTAATCAAATAACCTTTTTGGTAACAACAATACAAGAGTAGCTGTTAGCCATTTACTAACAGGAAGCTCCAATCTAAACACTGCTAGGAAAGTCTCTTATGCATGTCTACTGAGTATGCTTTAATGTTTGTGATAAAAGGTCTTTCTTGTAAGAATAATATCAGAGAAGTCTGAGATACTTAATTTTCATTTTGAGGAGAAAAGAATCTAGATTATTTAAAAAATACCCATTCATCTAGCTGTTTTCAATTTTTCCCTCTCTCAGGTATAAGCCATTCTTCTCCCCAGACTTAATCTAAAGCTAAAAATAAAACTGTATTAATGGTAACCACCCCAGAATCAAACTGACTCTATAAATCATATTAGTTATATAGAAAAGATTAAAAATAGGGTAGTTCAACTGAATAAAAACATCTTACCATTGTATTTTATTATTTCACGTTATAGTTAGAGGGTTTTTTCTACACTTACTGTCCATCTTCACTCCAGATTGCCATACACTTGTCTCCTACTTTCCATGAATGAGTGGGCTGTGTAGAAGCAAAACTGTCTGAACTTGCAAGAGTTTCAGAAGGTTGAGTTGAAAGAAGGTCTTTGGTTAGTTCTATAACTTCCTAAAAGGAAAAACAAAACATATTACATAACATTATTTTCACAATCCACACTGTCAACAACTCTCAAGAACAACCAAGTTCTTTCAGTTTGTCATGACAACAGCTCTCATACCATATAGCACTTAAAAAATGCTGTACACATATTAACTCATTTGCAGTTCACAACACTGTAAAGTAGGTACTGTGATTATCCCTATGGAGAAACTGACATACAGTATTTTATACAGCCAGTAAGTGATACAGCTGGGATTTAAACAGTCTGGCTCTGGTCTATGGTATTAACTACAATATGGCCTTCACCTTAATTAAACAAATATTAATGGAAGTAAGGCAGAGACTTAAGCCTACCATGCTTTTTTTTCTAAGTGCCTACTATAGTTCAATAGCTCTCTCTAAAGACGAGAAACAAGGTAGGTATGAGGGCCTGAATGAAATTCATGATCAGTTTTATCACGTATCATTGCCACATTTGTTTCATGCAACTGTACTGCTCTACAGGGCATTACTTGGTGGTAGTATTACATGCCTAGTGATCCTGGCTCTCCTTTGCCCACCAAAACACACAACACTTGAAGCATCATTAATAGTAGTAATAATGTACCTCCTCATAAAGATTTCTACTAAAATATTATAGGTATTTATAAAAGAAACCAATAGTTTCCTATTCATTCATTATAAAACTTAATCCCATTTGGGTAAGCAAATTACCAGGTCAGATTGAAAATATTCCAATGTTGCAATCTTAAACACATTAGCACAGCTTCATTTAAAAGGAAAAAATAAAAGGTTTCACAAACACAGGCAGGCAATGCCTCTTTGTGTGACAGTATTTTTTTCTACTTCAGACTTACGCTTACTGGCTTCATCAAAGGTGTTTGGTGAGGTTGGTTAAAAATCTTTTAGAACTAGTATAAATAGATATATTCTGTTATCTATCTGCTATATTTTTACACTAATGAAGGTCCATACTATGTATCATCTTATCTGATTTAAGAGCTTGCATACCCCTACCAAACTGTGGTATATAAAGTACCTGTAGAATGTCATCTTGTCTGTTTGGGGAGAAAAGTTAGCAAAGTTAAACTCTCTAACAGGTTTCTTCTGGCTCCTATTGAGGTTTTAGAATAATAGTTCTGGCTCAGCAGCCAAGAAAGTTAAGTATTACCTCCTAAAAATTCTAAATCTTCCTGGAGTGGGGGGAAGGACCCACCTAATATTTGAGCTAAAAAAAAGGAGGAGCAGGGAGGCTCCACTAAGCCTTTGGAGAAAGATCAGTTTTGTGAATACAAAGTCCAGAGACCAGATGTATTAAGTTAAGAATTCAGTAAATATTTCTGATAAAGTTTTATTAGTCATCATGTAGCCTTCAAATGGCTATTAGACAGTTCTTTGCAAAACCAAAGAACTATCAAATAAAGAGATCATATGTTATACAACAGAGTAAATTATCCTGTTTTGTTTTAGGTTAATCACTTTTGGGGCCAGGAATATAACCTACTAATAAGCCTTACTCAGGAGCTCTGGTGGCATAGTAGGTAGGACATTTGGATGCTAACCAAAAGGTCAGTGGTTCAAACTCACCAGCTGCTCCATGGAAGGAAGAGGAGGCAATCTACTTTCAAAAACATTTACAGACTTAGAAACCCAATGGGAGTCGCTAAGAGTCAGAATCAACTTGATGGCAGTGCCTTCACTGGCAAGAGCCAATATAATCACTTACCATTATGGCACAAGGTATATCCCACATCCTCCTACAGCTCACTGAACTATTAAAAAACAACAAAAATGAATTCTGTATCTGTATTTCTCAGATTTAGAATTCTATTTTTCTTACTTAGAACAGAACCTCCCAATATATTTTAATAGGGAAATACATCGTCATTAAAGAAAAAAGTTCTGAAAAGCTGTGCATGTTATGAACAATTTCAGAGCCCTGTACTGAAATGACCCTAGTATTTTTCAAAATTCAAAGCATTTACCCCTAGTGTCCAATTTAAAGTTTGCCACTGTTTTACAAATCCCCCCAACTATGAAGAACCTTTTAAATTTTTTCCTCCACATTTGCATATGGACATATTAGAAAGAGAAACTATTTTATGTATGAGGGGGTTCTTGAAAGTACATACCATTAATTACTTTTCCTCCCCCAAGTCTGAGTTCTGAAACTGCTCCTTCAATGACAGATGGGCAGCAGTTACAGTAATCGGCAATTCCAGGAAGCATCAGGTGTTGTGATCTACATATCAGCAGGTCAAAGGGGGTGCATTCAAGCACTCTGCTTACTGAAGGAAGGCGTTTCGGGGATGCAGAGAGCCACTGTAATATATGAGACAAGTGACTTGACCCCTGCCTCCTTTAGAACCAGTTTATTCAGCAAAACAGCCTAATATATTGACTATTCTTGTGATCACCATAGACTGCTTGGGGAGCTACTCTGCTAACTAGGCTGGATATTACTATGCCCACTTTAAAAAAAAAAAAATGATAAAAGAAAGGCAGTTAGGGTTTAGTAGATTGATGTACTGCCTGCTAAGTAACTTTATTCTACTCAAAAGGCAGTACATAGAGAGAGAAATACAGGAACCTTACTGGTAAATGAAAAGTCACCGAAAAAATGCAGAAAGGGCATTGTGTCTATCAAATAAAACACAAAGTCATAAGCAGAATATACTTCTGCAAGTGAAACAAAAATAGAAACCATATGATTGTCAAAAATATGAAAATAAGGAAGTCACAAACTCAATGATTAGGAACCAAGTCTAAACAGATTTTTCACCAAATATAAAAGGAATAATTAAACAGAGTAAAACCTGTGAGAGGTGCAACCTATATAAGTCAGAAACCTTATGCAACCTATTTAAGTCAGAGAAGGAAAATGCAGATATTTCCACTAACAGAGTATGACAAAAAAGTGGTATGACTGCACCCTGCCAAAGGTGGAACACTTGCAAGACCCAGAAAAACAAGGCAGTCCCACTGAGTTCCGGCTCTCACAGGATTCTCTGTAACAATGGTACAAGGCACACCACAGAGAAAGCAGAGAAGAAAAAAGAGAGGGAACCACCTATGGCAAAATAGTCCATAACTGGAGTCTCGAGGGAGACAACAATAATTACTTTTCAAAATCTCATCTAATCTTAAAAGATACCTTTCATTTTTCAGTAGTTTTTATTCAAAACAGACCTATACTTAATAACCAAATGAATTAAGTAGTTAGTAAAAGCATTCTGTATTATTGCTATCTTAAGAATTAGACTTAAAACTTCTAAATCTGTCCCATCCCATGTGGCTACTCATTTATATAAAATGAAAAACACAGTTCCTCAATCACACTAGCTGCATTTCAAACACTCAACAGCCACACATGGCTAGTGGCTATGGTTTTGAACACCAATGATATGCAGTATTTCCATCACCACAGAAAGTTCTGTTGCACAGCACTGCTCTAAATGGTTATAGAAAAGGTGCTATTTTATAGATAAACAACGTTCAACTCATTATTAACTGAACCCTAGGTAACTCATTTATATACTCACTACAATGCTACCACAATGGTCTCTTTTCCCCCTACAATATTTTCTCTACAGATCATACCATAGTAAGGCATTTCTGTCCAGACACTTAATGATTTATTCTAGAAATACAAAAAGATCTTATAATGCTGTTTCAACCTCCATTCCTCACTCTCTCTTCCACCAGTTCCACATACACCCCTCCTCCCACTGCCTAAGAAACAACATGGGGATGCAATCTCGTTTTCTTCACAGTAAAAAAGGACCACTTTTAAGTTGGTAAAGGTAGATGGGACATCTCTGAGGCAAGTAAGCAGAAACTCGATGCTTTACAGAACACAAATAGACAAGTGACCAACTGCCTCAGGTGCTTCTTCTTCATCTTTGATGTATACTCAGATAGTGTGAGCAGATAAAATGAATGGACACAGATAACTGTTGTGTTATTATTATGGAAAGACCTGGAAGGAGAAGAAATTCTTCCTAAAACATCATTTTCTTATTGACTGGGACCCTGAAATCCACAGGCCTGACTTCTACATATTGAAGAAGGGTCCTATTCATTCTGAAATCAGCTTAGATGTTTCCTGTTTTTTTTTAAAAAATAACAAACTATTGTAACTATGTAGAAGTTTATCATAAGTCTAGAATTTGAAATTGAAAATATTCAACTCATTTTAAGATAAGGTCTTTCAGAATTGCAAATCTGGACCCTATTTCAAGTAAGTTTCATTTGTTTGAAATAATGTATCTAAAATATTAGTTTTAATGGGTGAAGGGATGATGAAGGGAGAGAATATATTATCTAGACAGGATAAAGCCCATTTAAATTTTATACGGACTCAACAAAGAAAAATCACCTAAACAAAACATCCCCTAAGAACTTCATAAAATCAGGTTTCGAATTTTAAGGAAGCCCTCAAATTTGTTTAGATAAAAACTCATAAATATTTACAAATATTATATATGGTATTTTTCTTAATCAATGTGAGGAACAATAGGTATTTACTATCACAACTTTGTCTTGAAACCCTAATGTGGGTTTTAAAACAACAGGTTCTGTACCTAATGATCTCTTCCTTGAAACACAGAAAAAAAAACCATACTAAGATTTTCTTTTCATCACTTTAATTTCAATAAATGCAAACAACTACACTGTAAAATTTGGCCTTAAGTTCAAACATCTACGTACCACTTATGCAGAAAACAAGTACCTCTTTAGTTTTCTAATCTGTTTTCAATACTAGGTCTGACCCAGTAGCTTTGAAACATACACATACACACACACACACACACACACACATATTTTCCAAAGAATTTTGTGGTATTAAAAAGAATCTTGTCAGGTTATACTTTTTTCCTTTAATCTTTGGTATCTTTTGAACTACAGCTCCTTTGCCAGGCCTTTTTTTTTTTTTTAAAAAAGGCACTTATCCACTGTAAAGTTATGTGCACCGAAAATTTGAGACTTCCAAAATCAACTTATTCTAAAAATTATGAGCATACAACATTTACGTAGCAAAGAACACTGCTGATCCACTCACTGTAATTTATACACACTAAGAACGAACCTCTCATTTATGAGCTATATGAGCTTATGAGCATATAACACATGCATAAATACATGGAGAATAACCCCTCCAAAGGGATCTTAAGCAATAGACCATTTGAAAAACACAGAAATACTCTTTATAAGCAGTGTTAAGTGTCCCCCCGTACTTACTTGTAAATCCTTTTTCAATTTTAGCAAATCTTCATTTTCTCCATTTCCAGATAATGCAGCTTCAACTTGTTGGAGTTGAGCTTTGTAGCTAGCTAGCTGCTTTGCTAGATCCTCTGACATCTGGGGTGGAGGTGGGGGATAAAGATCATAAAATTTAATTTTAAAAAACCCATAAACTATTATCGCCCTGCCTGCCACAATGAATCCTTACCAGCTGTGTTCCCAACTCCTTATTAACTGTAGCTTAATTCATCATCATTACCTTTCAGTTCAGAGAAAAGTTGTCAGCCAAACTACAAACTTAAACCAATGGATTCTGAAGATTACCAACATGTCAGATAAATCCCATATAGAAAGAGACAGAGAACGCAAGGGGTAAAACACCGGTGAAAGGAAAATCCAAATTTTCTCTGAACTTTTATTACAAGGCAGGTACTGTGTTCGGTTCAATTAACAGGGTTGTTATTATCTTTTCCCCAAAACCCAAAACAAAATACTAATCTGTTGGAAAAGATTTTAAAAACAAGTTTTCAAAAAAATTTTTAGCACCAAAGAACATTTTCAAAGCCAATTACAAATGGCTTTGGCTTCACTACTCTAGTAATGAGTTTATTTAAAGGCTTCAGAGCAGAATTCACCCCCCAGTCACTTAAAAGTGTAGATGGTATTTTTCGGTTAAAAAAAAAAAAAAAAGCACAAATATTCCTCCTTTTAAGCATTTTAAGGCTAAGTGCCTTTCACCAAATCCAGTTCACTCATTCTTCCCCTGGAAATAAGATAGGAGTTAATCCTTTATTAATGATATAGAAGAGATTTCCGAGAACCCCTCTGTTTCTTAAAATTCCCATCCAACGACAGCCTGGAATCTGGAAAGCTCCAAAGGTGTTAAAGCAAAGAGGCTGCTCTTCTCCCTGTGACTAACAATCTCAAAAGCCCGCCACAACTTGGTCGATTATTTCAGGCCGCGAAATACAAACATCAGCTTCCAGGGAAACCGAAAACACGAACTGAGGGGTCCCCGGCCCCAAACACACAATCGCCATAAGCTTCCTGCAGCGGCCTCCCGCGTCCCGACCCCACCCGACGGGTTCTCCAGACTAGCCACGTTCGCCGCCACGGCCTGGAGGCCCCAACCCGCCCGGGACGTTCAGGGCTCAACTCTGGGTGGGAGAGGAGACTCCTAACAGTTTGGCAGGCGCCCCAGACCCCTCGAGCATGGCTACATCCTTGGATTCAGGCCTCCGCTTGAACTCAGAGAAGCCGACGCCCGGTGAGGCCTTCCTCCCTTGCGGGGTTTGTTACCTTTAGTGGGGCTGGGGGCAGGGCGGCGGGAAAGGGTCGGGGCGATTGAGTCCACTGGTAGCGGCAACAGCAGGCAAACTCTCTGCGACTTCGACAACGAGACGACTAGATTAGAAAGGAAGAAATCGTCGGCGGCGAGGGGGAGGGGAACAATCCCGGGCACTGGAAGGAGGAATAGACACAGGCGGGTGACGTCTCGCGAGATTTGCAAGCACTCGCGAGAGGTCGGTCGACTCAAGTGATCCTTTGCGCCCACTGAGTCGCCTGCTCTTGCTAGCGTTAGTGGGCAGGGTTTAGTAAGAAGGAAGTGGCGTAGCTGAGGTGCGCCAGGCGCGGAATATAGGTTAGTTTTACCTCAGTTCCGGCGTGGTTAGGGAAGCTGTTGGATTGTTCTGGGAGTGGTGGGTATTGTCGATCATTCTTCTAGAGGTTCCCAGAGAGGTAATCGCTTGTTCCGTATTCGGCGAGCGGTGTTAGGGTGTGGGGAGGACGGGGTCTAATGTAGTCTTTGTATCTATTAACTTATTAGAAATGCAGAGCTTCAAGCCCCATCCCACACTCCAGAATCCTGAACTCGGGGTAAACCAAACCAAACTCACTGCCTTCGAGTTCTTTCCCACTCATAGCGACCCCCATTGGGTTTCCGAGGGTGTAAATCTTTACAGAAGTAGATTGCCCTGTCTTCTTTTCTCAGAGCAGCTGGTGGGTTTGAGACACTGACCTTCTAGTTAGCAGTCAAGTACTAACTGTGGCAGACATGTTGGAAAAGAGGTTGATGTACTTAAAACCTATTTGGTTTTAATTAGATAGGTTAAACCTTTCCCTGGGGGTTTAGGGTCTTGCTGTAGAAGGTTCTAATTTCAATTGGACTCTTGGACCGTGGCAACATCTTTAGCGCTTTTTTGCTTTGTTTTGAAAGGACTTTTCCTGGTTTACTTTATATTGATATAATTTCAAACTTACAAAATAATTGGAAGAAAAACACAAAGAACTCATACTCCTTATCCAGATTCACCAGTGTTTTACATTTGGACACATTTGTTTTTTATCATTCTCTGTGTGTGTGTATACACATACATGTATACATGCATATATACATACACATATGCATCTCTTGGGAGTTCTGGTGGCATAGTGCCTAAGGTTTTTGACTGCTAACCAGAAGGCTGGCAGTTCAAACCCACCAGCCACTCCTGGGCAGAAAGACTGGACAATCTACTTCTGTAGAGATACCACCTGGGAAACCCAAGGACGGGTCGCTATGAGTCAGAACTCGATAGCAGTGAGTTTTTTGGGGTTTTTTTAGTAGTAACCAAACAAAAAAACCCAAACTCACTGCCCTGGAGTCGGATCCGACTCATAGCAACCTCTCCTTGGGTTTCTGAGGTGATGTCTCTACAGAAATAGATTGCCCAATCTTCCTTCCGAGGAGTGACTGGTGGTTTTGAACCACTAGCCTTCTGGTTAGCAGTCAAAAGCCTTAGGCACTATGCTACCAAGCTCCTTGTTTAGTAGTACAATAATGTTATTTGTTTATTCTTTTCCAGTTCACAGTCAGTCCAAGATCACTCATTGCATTTAGTTGTCCTCGTTAGTCAGTAATCAGAAGCACTTCCTCAGCCTTTCTTTATCTTTCCTGACCTTGGTATTTTTGAAGAGTATAGGCTAGTTATTTTGTAGAATCTCTCTCAATTTCAGTTTGACTGACATTTCCATATGATTCTGGTTATATGTTCTTGGCAGGAATACCATAGAAAGGATGTGCCTCTCTCAGTGCAGGAGGCTCATGATGATGATTTGTTCCAATATTGTTGGTGGTATTAGGTTTGATCAGTTGGTTAAAGTAACACCTTTCTCCATGCAAACCTACTACTTCTCCCTTTGATTTCTGGGGAGGTGTTTTGCAACAATGTAAAAGTCCTGTGCCTCATCAGACCCATTGGTTTTAGCATTCATGGCTGGCCTTTAAGGAGCTGTGGTGACACAGTGATTAAAGCATTTGGCTGCGAAGCAAAAGATCAGCAGTTAGAACTCACTAGCCACTCTGTAGGAGAAAGATAAGGCAGTCTGCTTCCATAAAGACTTACAGCCTAGGAAACCCTATGGGGCAGTTCTGCTCTGTCCTGTAGGGTCGCTATGAGTTGGAATTGGCTCAGTGGTAGTGGGTTTTTTGGTTTTGATGGTTTTCTAATGCCATTATTCTGTCTATATTTATTATTGGCTTTTTAGTAGGAAAAAAGCTTTCCTATGTCATCTATCTATTTATGTAAGATGCTATACATGGGTTCTTATTAAATGGGGTATAGTTTATTATTATTTATTTTGATAAGTAACAGGCCCTGGTGGCACAGTGGTTAAGCACTCAGCCTCTAACCAAAAGGTTGGTGCTTCAAACCCACCAGCTGCTCAGTGAGAGAAAGATGGGACAGTCTGCTTTTGTAAAGATTACAGCCTTGGAAACCTTATGGGGCAGTTCTACCCATCCTAAAGAGTTGCTGTGAGTCAGGATCTACTTGATGACAATGGGTTTGGTTTTTGTTTTTATTTTCATAAGTAATGATGCTTAATAAATCTGATGGTCAAATTGTTCTCAATTTGGGCCCTCCCCCTTTCCTTTTTTTTCTTTACACGCACATAGTCCTTCTACTGAGATAAATAACCTATTGTTGTTAGTTGCAGTGAGTTGATTCCTCATGGTGACCCCATGTATGCCTGTAGAATGATGGAAACTATATCAGGTTTAGTGAGGGTGACTGAAATGGAAGTTACCTTGAAAGAATTAAAAATGCTGTAGAGGGCAGCAGTGTGTAGCTAAAATTAAGAGGGAAGACAAACAGAAAGGATGTACTTTTCTGTAACAGAGTAGAAATTTGTTTAAAACGTAGTTGTTGGCATCTGCACTTATGCAGTTGTGTATTTTCAGAATGCTGAGAGAATCTTCCTTGAATATAAAGTAGACTACCCCTTCCATTGCATCAATTCTAACTCATAGCAACCTTACAGGACGGAGTAGAATAGAACTGCCTCAAGGAGCTCTGGTAGCATAGTGCCTAAGGCACTTGACTGCTCACCAGAAGGCTGGAGGTTCAAGCCCACCAGCCACTCCTCAGAAGGAAGGTTGGGCAATCCTACTTCCGTAGTGATACTGCCTTGGAAACCTAAGGAGGGGTCGCTATGAGTCGGGGCCGACTCGACGGCAAACAACAACAACAATCTTTACAGAAGCAGACTGCCACATTTTTCTCCCATGGAGCAGCTTGGTGGGCTTGAAGCACTGGCCTTTAGGTTAGCAGCCAAGTGCTTAACCATTCACCACCAAGGCTCCTTGTTTAAACTTTACAAAAAACAAAAACAAAACAAAAAAAAAACCCCTCAAAACTGACACAGCATAAATGGTGATCAGAGGCCAATTTATAGCAATAAATGCACACATCAAAAAAGAAGAGGGAACCAAAATCAACACCTTAAACCAACATCTCCAACAATTAGAACAGCAAGAAAAGTGTACAGTCACCAGAAGAAAAGAAATTAGAAAGATTTGAGCAGAAATAAATAAAATAGACAATAGAAAAAAAAAAATCAACAACACTAGAAGTTGGTGTTTTGAAAAGATTAATAAAATTGACAAACCACTGGCAAATTTAACAAAGGAAAAGGGAAAAAATACAAATAACACGAATAAGAAAGTAATTGAGCAACATCACAAGAAAACCAACTGAAATAAAAAGGATGATATCAGTATACTATGAAGAATTTCCAACAAATTTGAAAATCTAGAGGAAATGGACAGATTTCTATAAACACACTACTTAACTAAC